AACCGCCACCGGCACAGTCGAGCCACGGCACAGACGCTGCCCCGCTGGGACATCGTGGGCAGGGTGGAGGCTGGAGGTCCGGGGTGGGTGGGGGGTAGGGCCGAGGTGGGGGGAGGGCTGGGGTGGATGGGTGGGAAGGGCCGGGGTGGGTGGGGGGTAGGGCCGAGGTGTGGGGAGGGCCGGGGTGGGTGGGGGGGAAGGGCCGGGGTGGGTGGGGGGGTAGGGTCGAGGTGGGGGGGAGGGCCGGGGTGGGTGGGGGGAAGGGCCGGGGTGGGTGGGGGGGAAGGGCCGAGGTGGGGGGTAGGGCCGAGGTGGAGGGAGGGCCGGGGTGGATGGGTGAGAAGGGCCGGGGTGGGTGGGGGGGAAGGGCCGAGGTGGGGGGAGGACCGGGGTGGGTGGGGGGGGAAGGGACGAGGTGGGGGGAGGGCCGGGGTGCGTGGGGGGGAAGGGCCGCGGTGGGTGGGGGGTAGGGCCGAGATGGTGGGAAGGGCCGGGGTGGGTGGGGGGTAGGGCCGGGGTGGGTGGGAAGGGCCGGGGTGGGTGGGTGGGAAGGGCCGGGATGGCGAGGTGAGGGCCGGGGTGGGTGGGGGGGAGGGCCGAGTTAGGGGAGGGCAGGGGTGGGTGGGGCTGGAGGGCCAGGGTGGGTGGGGGGGAGGGCCGGGTGGGTGGGGGTAGGGTCGGGGTGGGTGGAGGTTCAGGGTGGGTGGGGGCAGGGCCAGGGTGGGTGGGGGGGAGGGCCGGGTGGGTGGGGGTAGGGTCGGGGTGGGTGGAGGTTCAGGGTGGGTGGGGGGGAGGGCCGAGGTGGGTGGTGGAACCAGAGTGACGTTCCGCCCTCCCCCCCCGAGCTACTCGTGGTGGTGGTGGTGAGTCGTGCGACGCGGGGCCTCATTTCTGGGCTAATGGTAACTCACGGGAGGGTCCCCGACGGGACCGTGATTGAGCGGCGGTTGTCACGTTGCCGTTTCGCCGAGTGCAGTTTTGGGAGTGCGGTGTCTGTCTGAATTAGGGCTTCGGAAGCAATCTGCCTGCCTGTGCGCTCGCCGTCTCTTCATCTCCGCTCTCTCGCTTCTCTCTTTCTTCTATCTCTCTCTCTGATATGGAATTGAAACGATCCTGCCTCAAAAAGAAGTCTGCACCCAGAGAAGATTGCCAAAAGCAAAACTGGACGGATGAAGGCGATTAGAGGAGGCGCAACGCCTTGACCTGGGCTCCGTCACTTTTGTGTGGGAGGGGGACCAGGTGTGGGGGGGCCGGGCCGTGGAGTTGCGAGGAGGTATTGAAAAAAAGGTTGCGATGATGATGATGATGTCGCTGACCTCTAAATGCCACTGCGATTTCTGGTGACCTCCCCCCCTCGTTGAGTTAATCTGGGGGGGGGGGGGGGGGTGGTGCAGGGATGTCAATGGGGTGCTGTTTGAGTGAATCAGTGTTCTTCATTGCAAGGCCCGTGGGGCCACTGGCGGCCCCTGGTGGCCTTTGGTGTGGCCATTGATGTGCGGCCCCCGACAATACACAACAAATGTGAAAACACCCTCCATCATCAGCGAGCTGTCAAACCAAACGGTGGTTTCAAATGCTGTGGCGGCCGTCACAGTGATCTCTTATCGGCGAAAATGGTCCCCCCGCTTGCAATTAGAGAAGAACACTCGAGTAAGCGAAATACAGTTACCGTCACCCCCTTTTCAAACGACTTAAAAGCATGCAAAAAATACCACAAATTGCATTGTTAGTGGCGTTATTGGTACATCATTACATCGTTTGATATCGATTAGGCCTATGGCTAGCACGAGTGAAGGATCGGACTCTCTTGAGAAGCGATGCCCTGTTTGTATTCGTAGATGTTGTGGTACGTGGCGAGATGTTAACTACCTCGCCTGGTATGCAGGAGGCCGTGGGTTCGATCCCGACCCTGACGCCTGTATTTTTTAGCGTCTCCGTGCTCTCCGTGTGGTCGCGTGGTTTTTTTCTCCGGGTCCTTCGGTTCTTCCCTCCACGTTTATAAACATGCGCTTAGAATATCTGATTGCTGTCGATTTCGTCGGGCTCTCATTTGTGCGTCAGGTCGCTTCTGAAAAAGAGCTGTATACCTCAGTGGGCCTCCCCTGGTAAAATACAAAATAAATGGTTTAGTTTGGAACGCGTCACTCCTGCATCCAGGAGTGAGGCACTACCGTTCGGCACTGTCGAATGAAATAATCAACTTTTTTTACTCAAACTATGACCGCTGAGTCGCGGCAATTCGCTGCATCGCCCGCGTGTTAATCGTGCCCGACCGCCATGCTAATTATCGCGTGTGTGCAAACGTCAACGTCACCGTGTGTCATACGCACCCCTGTTTCGAACGTTCACGACATCCGCACGCTCCCATGCGACACGTATACACGCCTGCAATAAAAAATAACCCCCCCCTCCCCCGTTGCTCCCCCTCGCCAACACCGTGTTATTTTTCGCAAGAGAATGCTCGGCTAAAAATAAAAAAGCGATGATCGCACGTGCGGAGATGTTTTGGCACGCGCTCCCCTAATCCCCTGCCTCGCATTGCCCCGTTCCCCATCTGCTCATCTCTGCCGTGAGCACCTCTCTCCTCGTGACTGTCACCCACCCTCCGTGACCGTCACCCACCCTCCGTGACAGTCACCCACCCTCCGTGACTGTCACCCACCCTCCGTGACCCTCACCCACCCTCCGTGACTGTCACCCACCCTCCGTGACTGTCACCCACCCTCCGTGACCCTCATCCACCCTCCGTGACTGTCACCCATCCTCCGTGACTGTCACCCACCCTCCGTGACCCTCACCCACCCTCCGTGACTGTCACCCACCCTCCGTGACCCTCACCCACCCTCCGTGACCCTCACCCACCCTCCGTGACTGTCACCCACCCTGTCACCCACCCTCCGTGACTGTCACTCACCCTCTGTGACACTCACCCACCCTCCGTGACTGTCACTCACCCTCCATGACCCTCACCCACCCTCCATGACCCTCACCCACCTTCTGTGACTGTCACCCACTCTCCGTGACCCTCACCCACCCTCCGTGACTGTCACTCACCCTCCATGACCCTCACCCACCCTCCGTGACTGTCACCCACCCTCCGTGGCTGTCACCCACCCTCCGTGACCCTCACCCACCTTCTGTGACTGTCACCCACCTTATGTGACTGTCACCCACCCTGTCACCCACCCTCCGTGACTGTCACTCACCCTACGTGACCCTCACCCACCCTCCGTGACCCTCACCCAGCTTCTGTGACTGTCACCCACTCTCCGTGACCCTCACCCACCTTCTGTGACTGTCACCCACCCTGTCACCCACCCTCCGTGACTGTCACTCACCCTCCATGACCCTCACCCACCCTCCGTGGCCCTCACCCACCCTCCGTGACTGTCACCCACCCTCCATGACCCTCACCCACCCTCCGTGACCCTCACCCACCCTCCGTGACTGTCACCCACCCTCCGTGACCGACACCCATCCTCCGTGACTCTACCTTCTTTTGTAACTGATCCCACCTCTGTGACAATCACCCTCACTGCGTGGCCATCTCTTTCTCAGTAGTACCCCCTCGTTTCGTAACTTGTCAACCTCTCCGTTCACTTTCCCTTCGTACTCTCCCCGTGACTATCGCCCGACCTTTGCGACTGTCCCTCATCCCGTGACCCCATTCCTCCCTTACCTACCGCTAGGAGTGTACATAGTCACGGCCAGCCCGTGGCAATTTGGTGCATTGTCACAATGGGCACGGCTGCTAATCAATGCAGCGAGTCTTTTGTCTTTTTCGTTTTTGACAAGGCGAACGTAGCCGCGTTTGAAGTCCCGTGCAGCTTCAGCATGCAACAAATTCGATTTGAAAAGCGTCGAGTCTCACGCTCGTGATTATTATACGCGCGCAAGCTCAATTATCTGCAGTCGTCAGTAGCCACTGATGCATCCTCACTGCCCCACAACCATCATCCATGCCGCGACTCTCTGTTCTCTCTGACCCCCCCCTCCCTCCCGCCGACTCGCCATTACATTGTTTGTTTTTTTGTTCACGGGAGCTGCGAGCCCAAAGCCACTCGGCGTCGACCGCCGCTACGAAGCCAAAACTCGGGAGCGTCTCCCCCGACTGATCCCACCCACCACCCCATCCCTCCCGCACCATTGCCCTCCTCCCTCCCTCTCTCTGTCCCTCCCCTCCCTCCCTCCAGCCTGCTCGCTCGCCCACCCATCCCCACCCATGGGATGCGACACGCATGGCTCCAACAGCTATGACGCATACGACAAAAAACGAGAGGTGGAAGGTGGTGGTGGGGGGGGTGAAACGGAGAGGTTCAGTGCTCAGTGGTATCCAGGCAGCGAGAGGTGCAGGAAGCCGAGAGCTCTGTGCAGTTTGACTGTCCGTCCATCTGTCTGTTCGGCTCCTCTGCGGAAGGGTTGGTGTCATTCGCGACTTTTGTCCTAAAAAAGTGGGCACCGCCTGCGGCTGCACGCTGCCACGGTGTGGACGGGCATCGTCGGCGTCGTCTTCCCGGCGGTGCGCTCAAAACTCCCCCCGCAGTTGAATTTCTGGTTGCTCCTTGGTTATTGTGGCTGCGAGCTCGTGGGTCAATATCTGGTTCCTTTCCCGAGGCACGATCGCTAATTGCGATCAATTGTAATTACAATTACGCCAGTCGGTTTGTTACCGTGACTCTTTTTTTATCGTTCATTGCCACCACGGCTTTTAATTCAGAAATGTTAATTGCCTAAACCCGGCTATCCGAATGTTAATTCTGCGCGAATGAACACAGCGGTGTCGGCATTCTTTGTTTCGCCACGGCGGCTCACCTTCACCGATAGAACATCACCTGCACGCGCAACCCGATCTTGTTTAAAGTTTCTGCGGGCTCGCCCACCCTCCGGTCTCATCCTGCTGCGTCTGTCCGCGCGCGCGCAAAAAAAAACCCAGCACGCAGCTCGCGTTGCCCGCTGTCGCTTGAATCTTGCGCGCCGGTGTGCCGCCACTGCCCTTGCAGGCTGACCGCTTGGATTGCTGCGCACCGTCGCTCCACCTCCTCCTCCACATCGTCGTCCTCGCCGTCCTCGCCCCGTGAACGCGGCGCCCGGCGCGGTCCGACCGTCCGGCCACGATGGAGGCCTTCCCCACCGGCCGGTTCGTCGCAGTAGTGGCGGTGGCGATGGCGGCTCTGCTGTGCGAGCGTCACCACCCCCTCGCCGTGACCCTGCCTCTTGACCGTGAGTAGCAAACACCCCCAACCCCCCCCCCCCCCCCCGTGTGCCCCTAAAGTTGATGCCCCCTCTAAATATTGATCGATCGTCAACTGAAGGCTATTTTGATCGACCGCCTACGAATGCCTTGTGTTGGTGTCCCAGAGCTGGTGGAAGTACATTTCACATTACCATGGCGGGTGCCAGAATGATTTGTGTGATGGACACTGTTGATTTGCGGCAAAAAGTCAGCATCAATGGTAGGAAAGAGCATCTCCTTGGGGTGGTGCTCATCGCAGTCTAAATAGATGGGTGGAAATTCCATGTTCCTATGGTGGGTACCAGTCTCTGCTAACACAATCAATGTTGAGTTAAACAAATGTACCACTCTGTTTAATGACCCAGAAGGGATGATGATGTAGACTAAGTCACCATGAATGCACGCAGTTTCGTCAGATCTCAGAGGCTAATCATGTCTGAGCTTGGTTATTGCTCGGATGGAAAACTGCCTGGGAATACCAGGTGTTCTGAGCTTGAACTGCAATGATGGCCCAGAGATGGCTGTACAGCAATGAATCCTTAAATCTATATTGTGTAGAACTTCCTCTAGTTATCCCCTCGTGAGTCTGGATGTTCTCAGGGTCCACTGGTTTCTTACACATGACAAAACACTCGCTAATGGAACTTGCCAAACATCCCAATGCAGGAACCCCCCCGAATAACCAAGGCTTTTCTCGGTCAGTGAAGGGCATTATGATCATGAGAATGGGCCGACTCAACAAAACAAGCAAACAAACCTTCAGGGAACTCGGATGGAGCGGTAGGGGCTTTAGAGGCGCAGAAGTAGAACTCAGAACTCCCGTCATCGCATCAACGACCTTGCACTTTGAAGACGCAGCAGGTCAGCGTGAATCTGCTTGCTTCAGTGAGATTCATCGGGCAGATTTAATTAGACTCATCCCGCGCTGCTCAGGGTGCTTCCCAAGGAGTGACCTTTTGACCCCTTTTCTGTTCGCTTGTGACCCCCTTTGATAAAAGTCCACAAACTCTCAGAGTCCTGCCTGGGCTTCTCACAGTGACATTCGTCACAGACATGTGCCTCGGCCTTGAGTCTGAGTGGTAAAGGCACGGGCGCGCAACTGCTTGCTAATGGCGCTGCTGGCGGCAGTGCCTCCACTGGAGGGAGCTCTAGAGAGCCCCTCTAAGAGGGTAATTTGGCCTACTCTTCCGCAGTGGCCAGATGCTATCGAGGTGGGAGTACTCACACTTTACCCCACCACACACAACCTGGTAATCGTATTGACTCTTCTGAAACGTTTCGTCTTACTATCACAAGCAAGCTTTCCTGTTTACATTTTTTTTTATAACGTGCAGACCTTTTTCAATCCACACTTGCATGAAGGCTTCTTCTCTGTGTGGGTCTGTGGGTCTCTTTGTGAGTCGATAGGTCTCTCTGTGAGATAAAAGCTTCCCCGTGCCATGTTTGTTACGGGGGTTATTTGACCATACTTCACCAAATTGGGCACTGCGGGTTTATGAATGTGGGGGGGGAGGAGGATGCCAGGCCCTGATCAGGTGTCACCTGCCGCTGATTTTAACATAGCTAAATAACCTCGCCTGTTCTCTCCGTAATTTGAACAGGCAAAATGACGATGCAATTTTTCCCGATGACGGCGCAAACCGACCGTCGCCCAAGCAAACGAGCGTGGCACGCCCGCTGCAAAACGAGGGAGCAAGCAGCAGCGGCTGAGCAAACTAACGGAAATACACCGCAGTTCGCGGTGTGCCTTCGTCGTGAGGCTAAATCAAGAAGAGAACAGAAAAACTATAAAGAAACCGGAATATATATATTTTTCCAAACAACAAAAGCGGTGTCAAATTGTGGCCTGCCCTGCCAGGCTTTTTGCTCGTATTAGTGGCAATAAATTAGTGGCGGCAGGCGTCGGCGGGCCTTGAATTATTGACGAGGGGGGTTGTTGTTGTTGCGCTCGCATCGGTTTTTCATTTCACCGCCGAGGCGAGGGGGGGCCGAGGGCGGGAGCGCGCCTCGTCGCGATGGAGAGCGGCACGCCGGAGATGATCTCCACATAAAGAGCCGCCCCCCCTCCTCCTCCGCCTCCCACACTCTGCACTCTCCCGTCACATCCCGACTCCCACTTGCCTCCCTCTCTCCATTGCCTCTCCAACCACCCCAACCTCCCCGCTCAAAGCGAAATCGAACGCCCCCCCCCTCCTCCTCCTCTCCACTCCCCCCCGCGCCCCCCCATGAACGGGGGCAGGTGAGGACGTACGCAGCGGGAGAGGCCCCAGCCTGTGGCGCACCTGCGCTCCCTGGCTCCGTGTGCCTGCCTCTCTCTCTCGCTCTCCCGGCCGTCATCGACGAAGCCGCCGCTCCACACCTAAATGCTCGCACCTCGTCGCCAAAAAACATCCCGACGAGCGCCAACCACCGTCGTTGTGTGGTGGGGGCGGGGGGAGGGAATTCGTCAATCTAAAACGAGGAACGTTCCACTCCCTGCGAACGCACCCATGAATGATTTTGGCGCTGCGGTGACGGCGGCCCTATAGGCGCCTGTCGCGAATGCGTTGTTTGCGCGAGTAGGAAGGGGGGCGGGGGTGAGGTGAGGTTCGTGTGTACGCGCGTGCGCATGCCACGTGCGCGTTGACTCGTTGACTCGTTCTCCGCCGTCTCATGAACGTTATAGAAGCGTACAAGCATTACAATCGCGCCGCCGCGCTTTCTCTCGCTCGCGGGATGTATGAACAATGGGTCGTCGCGACGTTCCACGCACGCGGGTTCAGAGCCACGCTTCACGGGGCCGGCGCACCGTGGTCCCCGGAACACGGCTGGCACCCCCCTCCCCACCCCCCCCCCCCCCCCCCGGCACAAAACAGCTTCGGGCGAACTGCGCCAGCCCGTTCCGCCGTGCGCCTACCTTATTCTATTACGACATCAGAGCGCCGGCCATAATGATAAGAGTCGAAGACAATGGGCGTGCTGAAATAATCCTCCCGAGCTGGGATAATTGAAGCCCGCCAACGGGTCTCAAAAAAAACACAAAAAGAAGTGCAACTTTGCAAGACGTGAGGCGCGCGTAAATAATTAAGCCCGCCCCCCTCGCACGCGATCGCTGTTATGAATAGTTCAGCGTCGGAGCGCTTAAACATTTATGAGTGGCAGTCAGCAAGCTGCTCGGACCCTGCGCGGACACCGGGAGCGAAACGTTTTTTTTCCGAGGATGTTCTCGCCGCCGCTTGTTGTCTCCGTGAGACAGGCGCAAGAGCTTGGGTCGAAATGATTTCTCCGCGCAGTGGCGGAGCGTTGCTTTACCGGCGTGGCACCGTCAATCGATCGAATCGATCGTTTGAACGGTGTTTGTCAGTGATGACCAACGAATCAAGATATATATATATTTTTAAGAAAAGTTGCACTTCTCAATAGGAACGGTTTATCTTCTTGGTTCTTTCGGTAAAGTCACGTAGAAGGGAAGTAATAAAATAATAAAAATAAAACATAATAAAACAATTCTCACGAGAATTGTTTTATTAACAATTGTCACGAGAATTGTTTTATTATGTTTTATTTTTATTATTTTATTACTTCCCTTCTACGTGACTTTACCGAAAGAACCAAGAAGATGAATCCCTGCAGTCACGAAAGCTTTAAATCGAAAAGGAACGGTTTAGTTTCGAGCAAGCGGGCATAACCTGCCTTAGCGGGCGAAAACATTCCCCTGCGGTGGTATTCAAGGCCGCTGATGTGGGAGATGTGCTGTTGGTCGCCACGACGGTGATGACAAAGTGCTTGCCACAAATTCACCACAACACCTCGCTGATCTCGTCAAGGAGCATGAACCTTCGCTCAAACTCCGGTCATCCTCACACCAGCGGCTTTTGGCTGACCTTCGAACAAAGACGGCGGTTACCGTATCGCGCGCTTTCATATGCGCTTCTGCGGCCGTCTGGAACGCTCTTCCTTCCGATGTTAGGATTCCACTGGAGCTACGTACTTTTAAATCGAGATTGAAAACTAATTTCTTTAGAGCTGCTTTTTGTCTTTAGTTAGCACGGTTGGCTATGTACAGTGCGAAAGGACTTCAACATACGTACCATAGGGTGTTTATTGTGATGACACGACCTGACGTGGAGTAGTGGGCAAAACACGCATTAGCATAGCAATCCAATTGCCTCCCTGCGTACGCGGCCACGACGCCACCAAACCTGCCGTGTGCCGTCAGGTTACGATTAATCCACTCGAGTCGTCCACAGCACCCAAAGCTGCGCCGCATCTGTAAATCCCCGTGGATGGCCCGGCAAGTTTGTCATCAGCAGGGAGCGGCCTCCGAGCCGGGACATCGTGAGCAGTCGCTGCCTCGAGTGGCTCCAGTCAAAACCGCCCCCCACCGGACAGCGCGACGGACGAGCGTGCATTTGCGCGTCCGTGTACGATTGCATTTATATATATATATTGTAGTCTTGCAATGAATGCAATACAGCCCAAATTAAGCACATTTGCAAATTGAATGCGGCTATAATTTGGATTTTATTCGGGGTGACGGGTTTCCAACAACCCCCCCACCACCGGCCCCGTGGCAATTGGATTTTAATCGTCGCTGTTAAGAATCGCAAATAGAATTCAAGAGTCAATTCCTTTTGATGACATTGAAGCCAATGCGGCGGCATTACTCGAAACGGAGCAATTCTTACACGGCGCGATTCAGTGCACGCGGTACCGCTGACCTTTCAGAATGAATACGAATCGGTGAGTCGACGCGTAAAAACCGGTTACGTTGAAAGCCCACATGTGGGACCGCATGTGAAGTCGGCAGTACGGATGGCCGAGGGGAGGAATCTCCAGTCTTGGGGGCAGTGCTGGGGGGGGACAGCTGCAGAGAGGCAGCAACGTACCAATTGCGCGATTGGAGTTGAGGATTAAGCGGCTCGGGAGTGTAAATACGTGGCCGCTGTTTCCAGGCCCAGTGTCACCGCGACGATTCGTGCTCATCTCACGGATTGGTGGTTCGACC